CTAATCCTCTTTAGTACAACTACAGAATTTTTCCATAATTTGCATGTAAACCATGTAGGACACATCTAAAAGTATGTAAGCAGCTTCTTATAAACGTATTAGCCCCAGTACATCCTGCAGTGGAAATATTTAGAAGTTTGTATGGTTTAAAGGTCCTTTTCTTTTTTTCTTTTTCTTTTTCTTTTTTTTTTTAAAAGGAAATTCAGGACTTATTTGTAATCGATAGTTAGAAGCTGAAAGGCGTATCGGCGGGACCAATCACAGAACTCTAACTCTTTCACCATGACAAAATGCATATACAAAATAACGCATACAATTTTAATCAAATTGTAATCAAAATTTTAATCAAGTAATTATATAACAAATATATTCAAACTGAATTTAACGCCGTTAAAAGAAGCAAGCAAACAAAGTATTTCTTTACATTGTTTTGTGTTTTACGCGCCCGTGATGACGCAATCACTGCGCGACGATGCCTAAGAAGATTTATATGAGTTCCCAGCAGGTAGTCAAACGATGACAACAAATTTAAAACAGGCCTTAAAAACCCACTTTGGGTTCGACACCTTCAGGTCTAAACTGCAGGAAGATGTTGTTAAAGCAGTCCATAGAGGTAAGTCGGCTCATTTTTCCTGTCTGCCTCTCTGTTAGATGAACGTTAGCAAGCTAACATAACTGCTGTTTGTCTTTAGTTTTGAATATGAGGTTCAGTTGGTTTTCACAGACAGTGAGAGACAGAATAATGTGTAACACGGTGGTCTCTGTGGTCTTCCTGCAGGTGACAGGGATGTGTTTGTGTGCATGCCTACTGGAGCAGGAAAGTCGCTCTGCTACCAGCTGCCTGCAGTGCTTGCTGAGGGCATTACTCTGGTTATATCCCCGTTAATCGCTCTCATTCAGGTTAGCGTCTGTCTCTAGCTCCTGAGCTCCAATCCAAAACCTTAAAATAAGTTTTGCAGTATCAGGTTTGCTTTAACCCCTGTTCGTGTTTCTATCCAGGACCAAGTGGATCACCTGAAGGAGTTAAACATCCCTGCCTGCTCCATCAACTCTAAGCTCCCAGTGAGTGAGCGCCGTTTGATCCTGGCCGACCTGGGGAGCAGCAACCCGAAGCTAAAGCTTCTCTACATCACTCCAGAGATGGTGGCCTCGCCCGCGTTCCATCCCTGCCTGATGGACCTGTGCTCCCGTGGCTTGCTGTCTTACCTGGCTGTGGATGAGGCTCACTGCGTCTCGCAGTGGGGCCATGATTTCAGACCAGACTACCTCAAGCTGGGTGAACTGCGGGCTCGATTGCAAGGAGTTCCCTGTTTGGCCTTAACAGCAACAGCACCCAAGAATGTACAGGAGGACATCATTCAGTCCCTGAGGCTGTCCTTGCCGCTTTCTTTTCTTACACCCGTCTTCCGGAGTAATTTGCACTATGATGTGATTTTCAGGGAGCTGCTGCCAAACCCATACGTCCACCTTTGTGCCTTCATTAAGAAAACATTATCACTTGGAGGTGGATCTAATGGACAGGTTTGTAGACTGTAGGTTGTCATGTGTTATCCTTTTTACAAACAGAAATATTCAGATAGAGTAGGGACAGTTTGCCTAAGGGGTTTACATTTTTGGCCAGAAGTTTAAAAATACTCATCATGGGCATGAAGGTCATGCAAATTCTGAGCTTTTAATTACTTTTTTTTTTAAACTGTTCTTTTTGCATTGGGGAATGATTGTATGTGACTTTAAAAAACAAGAATTGGGTGCAAAATAATTGACTTGGGATTTTCTCTGATCCACACAATGTCGAAAGTGTAGATACAGGCTCCATAAATAGATACAACCCCTATAATTAAATTAGATTAGATTAAATGTCCCTTAGCAAGTTGCATGTTGACCAGATGCTTTTGGCACCCAACAGTTAGCTTCTGGTTTAATTCTGGGTGGATATTTGAATACTTATTGTGGCAGAATTGGTAGAGTTCTTTAAAGTGGTTGATTTCCTATCAATTCCCATCCTTAAGCATCACTTATAAAAAGGTTTAAACGACTTTGCCATTTACATGTAAAAAAAAAAAAAAATAAAAAAAAATAAAAAAAAAACAGAACAAGTTTTAAATTATTTTTGAAGCATTTTAGTACCTGTATGTTTTACTTCTAGAATGACTTTTTGTTAAATTTTTATTTCAGGATTGTTTGTTTGCCTTTTCTCGCCTTTTCATTTTATAACATTTCTGTTGTTATTAACGGCTTAATTGAGCTCACACAGCATTTTCTTGTGTGAATACAACTGATTTTGTTGCCTAGAGTGGAGGAATAACACTCTTTGCCATTTTTTTTCATGCAAACTCTGGCTTAATCAAACTGTCTGGTGTTTGTAAACAGGGTTGTGGGATTGTGTACTGTCGGACCAGGGAAGGCTGTGAGACGGTAGCTCACCAGCTGACGAAGCTTGGAGTCGTAGCTAAGCCGTATCATGCAGGTAAAATTATTTTATTTTTATTTTTTTTACCTCCTATTTTTTTTATTTTTTTTACATCTATATAAACTGATCAGGCATAAGATTATGAGCACAGACAGGTAAAGGGAATAACACTCATTAATCCTTCATTGTGGCACCTCATAGTGGGTGGGAAATATTAGAGAGCATTTTGTCCTCAAAGTTCACGTGTTAGCAGGAAAAAGGGCAAACATAAGGATTTGACAAACTCATGCGTAGAAGACTGGATCAGAGCATCACCAAAACTACATCTCTTGTGGGGCGTTCCTAGATGCAGTTGTCAGTATCTATCAAAAGCAGTGGTGAACAGGGGGGGATGAAGGCTGGCTATCCAAGAGATTAGCTACTGTAGCTCAAATTGCTGGACCAGAGAGCAATGGAAGAAGGTGGCCTGGTCTGAATCACATTTTTTGTGGATGGTCAGATGCTTAGTTACCTGGGGAACATCTGGCACCAGGATGCACTATGGGAAGAAGGTGAGCTG